TTGTTTGGGGTGTATAGGCAGCTAAAAACTAATAAAATATAATTAATAAATATAAATAAAAAAGAGAACATAATCTGCTGCTGCTGCAGCTGCAGCAAAACCCTAAAAGGGTACTGGGGGGCCCCCCTGTGGGGCGTATGCAATCGAGACTGAGGGGCCCCCACCTCTCCCCTTCTCTCTTTGTTTTATTTATTTATTTTTTTTTTGTTTTTGTGTTTATTTATATAAAATAAATAAATAAAAAAAAAGAAAAGAGACAAAAGAGATAGCCTGCTGTCTCCTTTTCTTCGTCTGCTGCTGCTGCAGCTAAACTGCTATCCCTCTGTCTCCTTTTGTCTCTTTCTTTCTTTCTCTGTATATATATAATATATATAATATATATTATATATATTATATATATTATATATATAATATATAGATACATATATATATATATATATCCATACATGTTTAGGGTTTAGTGAGGGTTTAGGGTTTAGTGAGGGTTCAGGGTTTAGGGTTTACGGGCGTTGTCAGTGTCCCTTCATATACTGCTTGCGCCTCTAAACCCTAATTTATATTTTTATATAAACCCTAATTTATTTTTATATAGACCCTAAACCCTAATTTGTCTATATATAAACCCTAAACCCTAATTTGTTTATATATAAACCCTAAACCCTAGTTTGTTTATATATATAAGCCCTAGTTTGTTTATATATAAACCCTAATTTGTATATACATATAAGCCCTAAACCCTAATTTGTTTATATATAAACCCTAAACCCTAATTTGTTTATATATAAACCCTAATTTGTTCTATATAAACCAAGGAGCAGAGGATAGCGGGTTCTCCTCTAAACCCTAAACCCTAAACCCTAAACCCTAAACCCTAAACCCTAAACCCTAAAAACAATTTAACAGAGAGCCTCACAGGCTTCCTGCTGAATACAACGAGGGTTTAGGGTTTAGGGTTTAGGGTTTAGGGTTTAGGTTTGGTTATAATAAAAACCTAAAGAAGCAGAGCCATCGCTTCTTCTGCCCCTAAACCCAAACCCTAAACCCTAAACCCTCAGAGAGCTAGGGTTTAGGGTTTAGGGTTTAGGGTTTTCTATCTAGAGTGAATGCAGGATATTGCTGCAGCGTCAGGCTCCTCAGCAACAGCCACAACACGGGGTGTACGTACACCCCGTTTAGGTTTCTGCTGCTTTCTCTTTCCTGCTGCTGCTGCTGCTGCTGCTGCTGCTGTTTCTGTTGCTGCTGCAGCAGCAGCTGCAGCAGCAGCAGCAGAACGACGACCCCGGGGTCTCCTCCTGCCTCCTCTTGCAGCAGGCTCCTGCCCATCCTCCCCCCCCTCCTGCTGCTGCTGCTGCTGCTGCTGCTGCTGCTGTTGCTGCTGCTGCTGCTGCTGCTGCTGCTGCATGCGTTCTGTTGTCTCTGGTTCTGCTATCTTACATATCTCTGCCTTCACGCCAGCAGCAAGCAGCCGCACCAACCAACACCTGCAGCAACAAACAAATAAACTAAAAAGGAGACAGATAGAGACAAAAGGAGAAGAAAGGAGACAACAGAAAACAAAAGGAGGCAAACAAAAGACAAAAAAAAAAATAAAAAAAGGAGACAGAAAAAAGAAAATGGAGACAAGAGAGGAGACACAAGAAGAAAAAGGAGACATACATGCATATACGTATTTATATATACATATATATATATACATATATATATATATATATATATATATATATATATATATATATATAT